TGTCGCAACTTGCTACACTAAACGACGTCACTAACCGACTCACCTGCAGCGTTGGAATCCTTTATTCCAGGCCGCTTGTATTTGTTGAAACGTTGCCAGAGTTCCGTTCAGAATCTCACATACTCTGACAGCCTCAGAAAAGTTAAACGAATATCTTGGGTTAAAAGAAGCGTGGGTAATATTTGTAATACTCCTTCCACCCTTTGACAGTAAAATGAGACTTGTATCTAAGAAAGAATAAAAAAGAAAGTGGAATGGAGTTTTAGTCAGTAAATAGTCGGGAAATATTGCAGCTTTGATTCTCGTCAAGGAATAAAAACATTGATTATATTCCTACTTAATTTGGCTGTGTGTTTACCGAGTTATGGACGCACTCGGAAAGCTGAGATTAACTGATCTTTCACTAAACTATGAAATGCCAATTTTTCTGGATTGACAGAAAACACTGTACGCCGAATTTTCCTTATTGATTTCACGCAAATTATTCAGCTCTTTTTGAAACCATACTCGCAACGTCTAAACATGGGAGCGGGGATGCAAAGTGCCCGAGCTGACTTTAACCATTTATAACCATTTATAACATATATAAGGAAAAAGCTGCCAAACTTTACAACCTGACCTAAAAATCATCTGGAAGCTATTTGATATGACACATCATTGTACTCGTAACTTGACGTTTTCACGGCAACCTGTATTATTTGGTGTGTGCAGCTCATTTCTTGAAGATCAAACTCTTGATGTATTTCCTTTTAATCCCCCAAGCAACCTTTGTAGTATTACTGACATATCAAAGAAAAAGTCAATTACGTTACTTACTAACGTTACAATGGTCGTCAATATAGGGCAGGACGGCGATCTCCAGGGGACAGCGGACACTTCGTAATATAGCGGAGCTGCGTAACTGACACACTGAGCCGTCTTTACATATGTTCTGTTAAACGAGAAAAAGTTCGAATCAACAGAGGAATATCTGTATAATTAATAAAAGTAATTCTTTATCTTTCCAGCCGAACATTCCTCTAACAACATATCTGCGTTATTTGCGATCTTTCTTTTCATGAAGGCAATAAAAAAGCACTGAAAACTGTTTAACAATCTAGCACGCCATGAAACCAACAAACGTATAACGAAACGTTCAAACGAATGGGATGCCAGTCAATCGCAGGGTTACCCCAAACACCCCCCAACATTAAATTCGGCGGTGCCCATTTATACACCTTGGTGGAGAGAGGCACTGTGAGAGTAAAGTGTCTTGCCCAAGAACACAACACAATGATCTGAACCAGGACTGCAACACGGACCGCTTGATCCGGTGGGGAGCGCACTAACCATGAGGTCATCGTGCCTCCCGAAAAAACCTAATTTATATAATATTTGATTTTTCATAAAGAAACCTTCGAAGGATTATTTCTGTACAAAAAATATCAATGTAATGCTTATTTTTGATGGTCCTTTGCTCCGAAGTAACTCTGTTCGTGTGTAAATTATTATTTTCAAATTAGTTTTCAATCAGTTTCAACTCTATTATTGAATAATAGCTAGCAAAATTTTTATTCAAAACATATTTAATAAGCTGTTTTTTCACACACCAATGACCTCCCGAAACTACCTATAGGAATAGGCCTGCTGAATTCAAAAGTAACAAGGGTCGCTTGTTTCCTGTGGAACTTAACGTGAAACGCTCATACAAAGTTCTAATCGATATCCGGGAGTAAAGTGATCTCCTTATTCTTTCCGAGACCGGACCGATGGGTTGTTATGTAACTCAATCTTGTCGTCGACTTACCAGAAAAGTGAAGTAATCAAAGGCGCTTCGTCCTTTGAAGTCCATTGGAAACTGGCTCGCTTCTGAGTTACTTAGCTCACAAAGAAACTTTCCATCGCTTGAAGATCTTCCCCCAAAGTTGAATGAAGCACATCGCTTATTCCTCAAGCAGAGAGACCCACAAATAAGCGAGCTTTCCGCATAATGCGTCGACAAAATGTGATCAAAGAGGGAGAATCCCTCCATAACGAGGAAAAATCTAGATCTGTTATCTCCCGGCCTAAAGTCTTTTAAGGCAGTCAAGATGAACCAGTTTGGTATTGTAAGCAGAACGGTGATGAACAGAGGAGAAAACGTGTCCATTGTAGTCTCCTTATCACGCACAGTGGTGTCCTGTATCGTGAGTATTCTTGATTATTCTTTCGTCGATGAGATTTCCATGCACCTGTCGCAAATTTGAATAAGTAATAGTATGAAAGCCAGTGCAATTTAGGATTTCTATTACAAGTGATTATTGAAAATTCTCTCAAAATTGTACGAAAAAAGATGCTCGAGCTTTCATGCGATTACTCATTAATCATGTAATTGAGAACAATGCCAACGAGGGTGCATAAATGATAAATTTGCCTGCTCTCAGCCAATCACAATGAGTAATTTTCACAGTCATACAGTATTACAAATATATAGAGCAAATGACGAGCATACAATTTTGCAACAAAACAAATTTCAGTTTTATAAATGACTTGAACGCTGCAGTTACAGTACTTTGGATCTTAATGACAATGCTATGTCAGGGAAAAAAGCCTCGTTAATATATATAGAGGATATTACACGGTGGCGAGAAGATATGAATTTTATGTTCATGATATGTCTTCAAGCTAACGAGTAATGTTCTTTTTATTACATAGACATACGGATGACAGCGTTTTTGACGATTTTCCGAAGATTTCCGAAAATTCTCTCAGACTTGTCTGAAGGTCTCAAGAACGTTGCCGAACATTTTTCGAAAATTTTTGAAGATTACCGAAGACTTTCGAGGAAGACCCGAAGATGTTTCGATCATTCACCAGCGAATTTAAGTACAATTTAAGAGACAAACTTGATATCAGTGAAATCACCCATATCTTCACTAGTGAGGATATGGAAAATGCGCGACTCGAGTCCCGGATGTGGTTTCGTATGAATTTTACGAGTGGAGTATTTTCTTCTTCACCCCTTCTACGACTGAAACTTACAATACTTGTGCAGAGCGCGGCCGCGCGCGGTCTGGGTACCACAATTTAAAAAAGCTCAAGGCGTTCCTTGCTGCCTCTTTCGTTCGTGGCGTGCTACGGTCGACCACAGCTTCGTTTTATAAATTATTTATATGGCGTTTTCACATATTCGAGTTCCTTATGGGGGATTCTTCATCGGATAACGTAATTTGTATTTGAGTTCGTTATGTTTATCATCTTTTCGACAGAGGATGGTCGCTTTTCCAGCGGATTGAGCGAGATGTTTACCTGGGCTCTCATTTGCACCGAATCCATTACTAAAGTAAAGGCATGTGTCATTGACCGCCTTTTTGTCCTTTGGGACAACGTGAATAAGTCGGCTCCGGCTCTGCGTTAGAAAAGCGCATAGAAGAGTCTATCGCAAAGGCTGTCTCAGTTGTTCTGGCCAAGTTCTTTTCTTCGGGAGGTCTTGTTTCCTTGCAAGAGCCTTCAAACAAGAACGTCGATTCTAATTCCCCGAGCAACCAAACAGACGAGGAGGTCCCGGGCCCTTCCAATCGGGGTGAACGCTTCTCCTCACCAGAGGAGGATTTTGAGCTCTCTACAGAGCTTCTCAATCTTACAACCAAGGCTTTCACTAAGCCTCTGACCAAAG